GACTCAGCTGAGCCTAATGTATAGTTTTCCCCTAAACTTCTTTGATGTTGGAAGCTTTTAAGAGTAATTTGTCTTCATTCCTACTTCCTTTAGGATCAGTGGGATTTCAATACAGGTATATACATATACCCTTAGTCCAGAAAATACTCCTTATGCAAAAACGCAAAATTACAAAGCAATTACTTTGTTGCTTGCTTTTATAATATCTTCCCAGTAAGAACTATGAGTTCTCTCTGTTTCTGTAATTTAAGTGAGCAAACTATGCAGAGTACATAGGCCAAGGAGACCACAGAAAGAAATAAGTGGCTAGGGAGAATGGAGAAAGCAACTAACCATAGCCTAGATTTGAAGCCATCCAAGATTCCTCCCAAAACCTTATATATGCTGGGCTAGGTGCTATGTGACAAAAACATACCCTTCACCTCTCAGCAACTCAGTGACAAAAAGATGAGAAACATAAGCTAGAAAAAAATTCTGGGGGAAAAAAAAAGACCCTAAAAGCTTTTCATTCTGCTAAACTAGTGAAACGACAAAAGAAATAGTGAATAATGTATTTATCATGCTTGATGAGAAGCTAAGGATCAAAAATAGACATTTGTAAATCTCATGCCTACACAGTGGCATGTTATGAAGCCTCTTAAGCCTTTTTAGAGTATATACAAAAGAATAATTGTCTTCATAACAAGGAAGTAGGGAACTGAATGGCTTCCCTATGCCTTTATGGATTTAGGTTAAAGAGAATAGTAATGAGGCTGGGAAGGTGGCTCAGTGGTAGAGTGCTTGCTTGCATTCATGAGGCCCTGGGTTCAATTCCTCAGCACCACATAAGCAGAAAAAGCCGGAAGTGGAGCTATGGCTCAAGTGGTAGAGTGCTAGCCTTGAGCTGAAGAGCTGAGGGACAGCGCCCAGGCTGAGGTCACGCCCCATGACCAATTAAAAAAAAAAAAAAGAGTAGTAACACATATGTGTGTATATATGTATGTGCACAAACCATTTAAAAGGCCAGGAGTGCGTGTATACACACACACACACACACACACACACACACACACACACGTATGTATCTGTGTGTTTAAAGTTTTGAGAAAGAGGTAGACAGTACCAGAAGTGTTTTGTTACTCATTACTTGATAGTGTGCCACACATTATTATGCATGTTAGGCAAAGAAACATTTAAAACAAGTAAGCTATCTGCATTCTAGGGCTAATTGTAAAAAGTAAAGCAAAGCCAAGTATCAGTGACTCAGTCCTGTAATCCTAGCTAGTTAAGAGGCTAAGATTGGAGGTTTTCAGTTCAAAGGCAAAACCAGAAGTGGAACTGTGGTTCAAGTGATAGAGCACTAGCCTTGAGCAAAAAAGCTCAAGGACAGCATGCAGTCTGAGTTCAAGCCCCAAGACGGGCGGACGGGCACGTGTGCGTGCACATGCACACACACACACACACACACACACACACACACACACACAGGTACAGGTTAGGGAAGATAAAAGGAATGGGAGTTGCTAAGAATACCACCCCTGCACCTTGAATATTGAAATGTAATATATAAGTGAACAGGTTTATGGTGGGCTACTTTCCCTATTATATTCCCCAGAAAGCTAATATGGTAAACTGGGAGACAGTAAATGGTATACTTAACTTTATGGTCACTATAAATTATAATCCCCCTAGCCCTTCTCACTATGAACCTTAGCAACTTAGTGACTCTCAAGTCCCCTACTCAACACAAAAGCTAAAAACTGAATAATATCTCTTTCACACTTAATTATCCACAGAATTATCTACAGAATAGTACTTATAAATGACCTTGAGAGCAAATTTTAGGCTGACAGGTTGTATGACCTTCACTAAGTTGCCAACACAGGAGAAAAGGGCCTGGAGAAACTCTTCTTCAATAGCCACATAACAAAAGGAGTAAATCGTGATCTGTAATACAAGATAAAGGAAAATGCAGAAATCATAGCTAACACCCAAAATTTACAGTTCTATCACAAATTAGTCTTCTGAAATGCCGAGAGCTAAAATTTAAAGTAGCACAGACTGTCTTACCAAAGACTTCCATACTAATTGTTCCCATTTTTCATACTGTGTCAGGGTGCTCAGACTAAAAGACATGCATTTACCATACTTTTAGCTGGTATGGGGGGAGGGAAGCTCATAGTGAATGTTTATTACATCAATCTTCATTCAGAGCTGGGCACTGGTGGCTCATGCCTGTAATCCTAGCTACTCAGGAAGCTGAGGATCTTAGTTCAAAGCCATCCCAGGCAGGAACGTCTGTTGAGACTCTTCATCTCTAATTAACTACCAGAAAACTAGAAATGATACTGTGGTGCAGCACCCAGGCCCTGAGTTAAGCCCCAGGACCAGAACAAACAAACAAAAAAATTCAGACACCAAACAGATAGTAATGAAATCCCAGGAAAACTTTCCCAACTGTTAATTCTTTTTTCTATAAAGCTTTCCTTTCAATTTTGGAACTGTATTTACTCAGTTATCTAGTAAAAGCAGCTAGAAATTCTTTTTTCAAACACCCTGAAGAAAAACAAAAAGACTGCCAAATGAACTTTTCACTGTTGCTAATGCTGATTTCTTCCTTTTATTGGCCTTTGCTTTTCCTCTACTTGATGTTTAGTTGCCAGTGAATATAGCCAACTCACAATATTGTTAAATCTTAATTATAAGACAGAATATTGCATTTCCATATTCTGGGATGGTTTTGTTTTCATATGACACTCATGGACCATCTCCTGATATGTGTGTAGCTAATGCAAACCAATTTTATTAGTCAAAGATGAAACAAAAATCCCTAATTTTACACATATAGATACATGTACACATTAATATTCATGCAACACATCTTTTCTGGAGGCAAAAGTACACTTTGTGAAATGAGGTAGTGTTAGAGTGGAGGGTTAAGATTGAAAAGGGTATCGGGCCTAAAAACTTGCATATCAGATTATCAGATATGTAATCTCAGATGATTTAACAATCCCCTCTAATTGGAAAGGTTGGACTATAACAATGTTTTTAAGTTTCCACTAGTTCTAAAGATGCTGGCTCTAATTCTTTATTGAAATACTAATTAGGGGATTATTTAAAAATGGCTAAATCACAAAAATTTGTCAGTGTTAAGTTACTATAGTTCTATTACTAAGCTTCTACCATCTTTTGAAACTATTAGTGCACAGAATAGTTTATAACCTCTCATTTTCTTTGCAGATTCTAGCTGAAAGGGCAAATTAATTGCACAACTGTCCTAACAGTGTACACAGAAAGCAGTCATGCAACATTAGGCACTTTTAATATACTGCATTTTGTCTCTTTTTAAAGCCCATGGCACAAACCTATCATTTAATCATTTAAAAGTGGCTCCTGAACTGCAGACCAAGAAGACATTCAATGGAAAACATCTGAGACATTGAAATTGATTCTTGGGCTAGGATCTGCCATTTAACATACATCCAGGTGATCCTATGACTAATTTTAGAAATATTACCTAATGGAAATATATTAACTAAAACTGTTTTAAGAAACTACTAAAACATGGGTTCACTATGCCTGAATATTAAATTTAGGGGTAGATTAAATTTAGTAAGCACCAACAGATACTTTAAACTTTGTTAAGTATATTCTTTAAAAATGTACTCAATCTTTATACTAAATGCACGAATAAAGTAAAGCAATTCATTTTGGTCCTTTCTGGGGTCAGGTCAAGATGGCTTTTATGTTTCTGAAGCAATTCACAAAGCCAAGATGGAGGTTTCAGAGGAAGGCACAAAGGCAGCTGCAGCCACAGGTATGTTGAGAAAGGAGTAAAACCTGTTCACGCTTGCTTTCTACTTTAAACTTTTCTAGGTCAATATTCCCAATTGTGTACTTCCTTTCCATTTAAAATCTTATGCCCAAATATATTTTTTAATGGTAACATCTTTTTCTCAACTGATGGAAGAGATGCCCATTTAAGAACCTGTACCATCATCTCATATATAAGGAAGAGGCATTCTGAGAATTTCCTTCAGTAAGGAATTTACTCCATGGGGTATCTTGATAAGACAGAGATGTGGCTAAATAGAATCTCTTTTTAATTTCCCATCCACATCCCCATGTCTTTAAGAGATGTCTTTAAGATGCTGTATTATCTTCAAATGCATAGAAAATGCAATGCAGTTTTTCTTTTATCTTTCCTGCAGCTCTGTTGTTACTGAAAAGGTCTCGGATTCCTGTTTTTAAAGCAGATCGGCCATTCATCTTTTTCCTGAGAGAACCTAACACAGGTATCACAATATTTTTTGAGAGCACTAATTAAATATTTTATCAGCAACATTCTAGCAACAGGGTTTATTTGTCCACTACTGCCTAAAAACAAGCATTTCTTCTGTTCCTATGGCATTACAGAGGCGTCCCAAATGCTTGTATTTTGCAGAGAAAGAGGTTATATCATAAGCGTAAAGAAAAATTTATTATCTCCCATGGTTTTTGCATTCTAATTCTCCTAGCTTACTTGCAGTTAATACAGAATTTTAAACATTTAGTAGGTTTTTACTAAGGGAACAAAAAGAAATCCTGCAACACGCCCCTAATTGTCCTCTTATTTTATAAAACAAGTCTGTTTCTTCAGGTTACCAGGGTGTATCAGAGATGTCCCCGACTAATTCTCAATGACTCTAGTATTCTAGTGAATACATCTGAGATTTCTATACTGTTCTGCTCTCTTTCTGAAAAGAAAGTATTTGCCCTAGTATTATTATACAAGCGCATCTCAATTCAAAGCAAAGCTGCACTAGACACATCAGAAGGACAAGCAACTGTTCTTTAAGTTACAGCAATAGTGAGAAAAATCTTTTAAGTTAGTTCTCTTAATGCTCCTCCTGCCCTCTGACAATCACCAGCCTAGTAAAGAAGAGATTCTCAGAAAAGAGTTGTTGGCAAGTCTAACCAGTGTATAAAAAGTAAAAAGGTGAAACAAGACTAATAAAATCAAGCAAAAGTGGATCTACTTTAACTAAACATCAGGCATTACTTTTATTTGTGGAGAGAAAAAAATGTCAAAAGTGAAAATTATGCATAGCTTTACACAAATTATTAAGGAAATACTGTCAACATCATTCTATCTGAGAATCATTTGCATACTGATATAACTTGTGCTAGAAACCAAAGAAACATTTTTTGTGACCAAAAGGATGAAGGTAATCATTTACTTGAAAATATTCAATTTGGAAATTATTTGGGGGAAACAAGTCCACCAACCGAATGCACCGACTTAGTATTTCACCATGATCATCCCAACCCCACAGTGATTCTGGAAATGTCATTTAGAATAAGCAGCAAAGAGATTCTTAGAAGAGATAGTGGTCAAAAATGTTAAGAAAAAAAAAAAAAGGAACTTCTGCTTCTTCAAGAAACCAAGAGAGAATTAAATTGAACAAAAGATCACTACCAAAAAGCTGAGATCCAATAAATGTGGATGAAAGTTAAAGGAAAAAGATGTTATTTTTGGAACTCAACATTAAATTGTTGAATTAGGAAAGGACACATCACTATTTCTATTTCAATGACATGTTTTTCTAACTGCCTTCAGTGATCAGAATGAATATATATATGGTTAATCCAAAATCAGATCCATAATCTACCACAAGTCTAGGTATAGTCCTTATGAATTTACTTAACACTCTTCTTGGGAGAAGGTCCCCATACTACCCAAGGATAAGTAGCTACTCTTTTGGTGATGTTACCAAAAAGACTGAACATGAGTGTCCAGGCAAATCTGCTAAAAGCAACAAAGGCATCAATCAATGGACAAATGCCAATTACCTTGGGAAACAATAAGAAAAACTATCTAAAGAGCTTAAGATTAACCTTTCAGAGAATATAATTTATCCAGACTAAAGTCATTTAGTAACCTAAATGGCCTGAAAGACAAGTTAATCCTCCTCCCCACCCAGACATATTTTGCTGATAATTCTATAGCAATTATTTCACTAATTTAACTAACACTAAACACAAGTGTTGTTTTTTTTAATGCAAACAGCCTGAGAGAGATAGTATATTAAGTTTTAGTACTGATGTATTTCAAAACTGTGAATAGGATTTAGGATGAGTGTATAAAGAATATCAGGGCAGAGACATAAAGGACAGAAAGAGGAGACAGAATAGACTGCTACCTCCCAAATTTTTCTATTCTTTTTAGTACAACTTTTTAGTACATTCAGAAAAATGTACTAAAAATCAAGCAGCTAAAGCATTACCAGCATTTGATGGACATGTTATATGAAAATAAGAAATTTCTTATAAGGAAAGCTGACAATTAGAAAAGACTCAACCTTCTTCCTAGATATTCTTAAGTATAAACTTCTGTCACAATGACTTCTAATGCCTCTGATTAATTTCAGAATCTAGAAACATAGTTTTAGATCAGACAGTACATTCTGGTTTTGTGTAATTTGTGTAATTTGGCAGTTATTTCAGTAATTCTATTTATCGAATTATATCATCCTTTACTTGAAAATATTTTGTAGAGATTAAAAAAAAGTTTTGAAGAATAGCATATGAAAATATACTTAATGTTTGTTTGTTTTTTTCTTGACAGGGTTTATCTTCAGTATTGGGTGTGTTTCAAATCCCCTTGACTAAAGATGTTGAGAATGTTCCCCACTTTTATGTATGCTTTCCTTCATAAAAAGTTAGAACTTTATTTGCAATAGGCTTGAAATCTTAAAATGTTTCTGAATCAGTACAAAAAGATAAGGGCATGTAATTTTCAAATATTATGAACATAAAAATAGTTTGATTTTATTATAATTTTATAAGTTTGCTTTCCCTCTCTTATTCCAAATCTAAACATTTTAACCATCTCTTCTACTTGTTACCCCCCCCCCCAACCACTAAAAGGCACAGCAGTGATCTATGAATGGTGAATGAGTCAGGCCATAGGATTGAAACCTCAATAAGGATACATAAGGTCATGTAGGATTCAGGGTGAAGAATGAATAATGTCAGTTTTCCTTTTGTTACTTGGAGAAGGAAAAAATGAGCAGAGTCATCTTAAATCTATTACCTTTCTATTTAGCTGGTAAATAAAATTTAGGGTGTAAATGTGAAACTACAGTGCAGAAGAGATCTCCAAACTCCTAATGTTGTGACTTTTGTAAACACGGCATGGTATTAAACTGAAACAGGCTAGACATTTCAAGGTATATAATGTACCTCAAACTTACCACTCCCTCACTAGCAGCTGAACTGAATGACACCTACAATCCTAGTGAGAAAGGAAAAGGGGTAGAAAGGAGGCAAGGAAATCAGGAAGCTGAACTTCTGCTTTTTAAGAAAGTTTAAAGTGTCTGCCTATAATGCAAATTTCCCATTTGGAGTATGTTGACGTGGCCAACAGAAAATTATAAACATATTAGTAAAAGACAATGCAGAGTAATCACAGTTAGGTTTAACAAATATATGAATTTCAAGTGATGTGTTTTCCAACACTAGAAAGCAAGAGCTTTAAAATTCCATTGTCTTAGGATGTTTTTTAAGTGATTATTTTAAATGTGATTATTTCCTAAACCACACAAGAGTAAAATAGAGCATTTATTGATGGAATAACAAAAGTGCTTTTCTTAAATATTCTTCAAAATACATCTGTACAACTTACAATAATATATCCAAAATAACTGTATATACAAAACATTGCCTAGATTTAATGTATGTGCTTTTTTTTCCCCAAAAATTACAAAGTAACTTCTTTTTAATTTTTTTTTTTTTTGGCAAAGTTCAACCTTAACAGAGGTGACAATTTTAAAGGTTGGTTTAAGAAAATAGAACCTGAGGGAAATTGACACGCAAGAGTCAATGACAAGCAAGAGATTTAAAGGAGTATTTTTAGTTTGTTAAATAAAAATGTTTTTTTTTTTTTAGTGATACTTTTCACATTACAAAAATAAACCAAAATGAATAAAAGGTCACTGTAAAATGATGGAAAAAGGATCTGTCAACTTGTTTTAGTATTTCAAATAGCCAACAATGCATGTCAAAAAATGAATTGCAAGGTCACAATAGTCTTGTATTTACTTTGTATTTGGAGAGGATAGTAAAATAAGTGGCCACATTCTATCTTCTTTTAATTGCTATTAATATGGTTGATCTGATTGGCTCTTCGATGAATTTCATCCAAGAAGTTCTCCAGTTGTTCTATTAGCATTCGTTTTTTGAACCTGTATGAAAAATAATTAACAGCACTCTCAATTACTTTGCAATGGCTAGCATATACTAGGTACAAAATGTTTACTACAGAGAGAAACCACATTGGAAAAGTTTCTTCAAATTGAGATGGAAATAGAAAATGCTGTATTAGGAAAACTGACACCTGAACACACTATTGGGTTTTTCCCTAAAACAAATAATCTAGAAACAAGGGGGAAAGGGGTTCTCTCCTTCAACTAGAAAGAAAAAACTAATTTATACAAAGATTCCAAATCTGTAGTGTAATTAGGGCTACCGAAGAGGTTACTATAGAATTTTCTTGTGGTCTTAAATTTGAACAAAATGAACATTGAACAAATTATGATTAATTCCCACAAAAATAAGGGGGAAAATGAAAATTGGGTAGTAGTACTGAATAATCATGGTGTTCTGCTACTAAAATTTTAAAGTAGCAAATCAAGAAAAGTTAAATATATATATTTATGTTTATATACTATAGTATGTACCAATTAGCTAAAGTTTGAGTGGCAAGTCTTTAAAATTTTCAGAAATAAATATAGACAGGCTAAAATTGCAATCATCTACATAAATATAATATCACTGATGCTTTTTAAAATATTCCCAAATACTGGACACTTTATTCCCATTTCTTTCCTACTTGTAAAATAATACAGATAGACACCACATTACACGACTTTCCAAAAGATGACATGAGTAAACAGGTACTAGGAACACAGCTAAATCCAGGATGTGCCAAGTTTGGTGATTAATTCCAGGCCAAGGCAAGAGCATCCTAGGTTTGAGGCCAGTCTGGGATACAAAGTATATCCTGCCTCAAAAACAATCATCTCCAGGCCAAAAACAATAATCCTAGCCATGTAGGAGGTTCGTATCTAAGGACTGTGTTTTAAAGCCAGCTAGAAAAGACAAATTCTAGAGACCCATCTTCAATCAATAGCAAAAGGCTAGAATTAAGGGCATTACTCAAGTAGTACCATACCAACTGTGAGCAAAAAAAATGAGAGCATTAAGTCTTGAGTTCAAGCCTTAGTACAGTCAATAAATAAACAAATTGAGGATGACATCTGAAAACAGAATAGTGTTAACACAAATATAAGAATAAGTAGCCGGGTGCCAGTGGCTCATGCCTGTAATCCTAGCTACTCAGGAGGCTGAGATCTGAGAATCACGGTTCAAAGCCAGCCCAGGTAGGAAAGTCTGTGAGACTCTTATCTCCAATAAACCATTAGAAGTGGCACTGTGGCTCAAGCGATAGAGCCCTTGCCTTGAGCTGAAGAGCACCAGGACAGCGCCCAAGCCCAGAGTTCAAGCCCCACAACCAACAACAACAAAAAAAGTATACTCAAAATTACATAAAAAGTAGTGGCCGCCTTTTTCTACCTCGAAAAGAAACTGTTCTATACAAAACCTTTATATATACACGACAAAACAGACAGGGGATTAATTAAGGGGTGAGGATATCTACAATTGAAAAATCATATAAAATAAACCCTATTTTCTCACAAACTGAAAGAAAAAGTTGCAAACACTTTTGAGCTTGTTTAACTATACTTCTTAAATAACTGTACTTCATAGCTACATTTATCATCTTGCCCCTACACATCCCTTGTATTAAAGTACATAATCATGGGCTACTAAAACAATCCGCTTGATTACAGTGTTCCCATGTAAAAATGATTTCAAAACTGTTAATGTTAATATAGGAAGGCAAAAAAGAGACAAACACTAAAGAAAAAGATAAAGAAGAATTTTCAACCTATGTAATACTTTTCAAAGGTAAAGTTTTGTAATTCTTGGAGAATTTCTTTGTAGCTATTATTTTAAGTGAACTTCATTCAATAAACTAAACAAAAAGCACATGATATATAACTTAGTATGTCATATGCATACATAATCAAGTACACAGATCTGTTAAAATACTATATAAACTGAAAACTCATCATTTTCATGTTTCCTTACCTTGATGCTTCTTTAATAACATTTTGTAAAAATATGAGTCTTGTTTGTAAACTGCCTTGTACATGCTTCAGTAAAGTGAAGATTCTTTCATATTCTTAAAAGAAGAAAAAAAATTAAGTGGCCTTTATCTGTATTTTTGCCAGTAGTTTTCTCCTGCCATTTTTCTTACATTAAGATATACCTAAACCAAAATATTCTGTGAAAATTTACCACTCTTTAAGGATTTTATAATACATTCTAATGTATATATATGTGAAAGTATGTGTCAGAAATTATTAACAAGCCAGGTGCCAGTGGCTCACACCTACAATCCTAGCTACTCAGGAGGCTGAGATCTCCAGCTCAGGCAAGAAAGTCTGAGAGATTCCTATCTCCAATTAACCATCAGAAAACTGGAAGTGGTACTGTGGCTCAAAGTGGTAGAGACTAGCCTTGACCAAAAGAACTCAGGGACAGTGCCCAGGCCCTGAGTTCAAGCCCTATAACTACAAAAAAGAAAGAACAAACACTGCTGTTCAGCAAAAGTTGCCATTAAAGTAAGAGGTAGGTACACACATGTCAGTCTGGGGCTTGAACTCAGGGCCTGGGTACTGTCTTTTTACCTTTTTTGCTTTAGACTGGTATTCTACCATTTGAGCCACAGCTCTACTTCAGAGTTTTTAGTCCCTAATTGGAAACAGAGTCTTGGACTTTCCTGCCAGAGCTGGCTCCTGAGTAGCTAGGATTTCTTTAGTTTTTTTTACCTAAACACATCACTGACTGCAACTACAATTAAAATCTTAAACATAATGGTAGGCACTCTATAATGAGAACTTGATAACATGCAGTTTTTTAATATCACTACATTATTTTGAGTTAGCTGTTATAATAAAATTTCAGCTGCTAATTATAAGTGTTAACTCCGGGTCTATGTTATGGTAGTTATTCTTTAACAATGTAGTCTTCTTTGCTCTCTTGATGACTACATTTAATACCCTTGGTGATAGTGTTTGTCAGATAAAGAATCAAATCTTGCATAACTCAGATATTGTTCAAGATTGATCTAGAATCAGATTTTCATTTTTAGGAATTAAACCTGAGGGCTGGGAAGGTGGCTCAGTGGTAGAGCACTTGCCTTGCATGCATGAGGCCCTGGGTTCGATTCCTCAGCACCACATAAGCAAAGAAAAAAGCCGGAAAGTGGCACTGTGGCTCAAGTGGTAGAGTGCTAGCCTTGAGCTGAAGAGCTGAGGGCCCAGGCCCAGAGTTCAGGCCCCACGACCGGACCCCAAAAAAAGGAATTAAACCTGAGATTTGTCTCTAGTCATACATACTTCTTCCTGGCTTTCGGATCTCTTTCATTATTTGTGCTTTCAGTTCAGTATTGACTTCTTCATGGCTCCTGCAATGCATCAATTTTTTCCCTTTGTTGAGTGAAGATGCTGGTATATTCTCTTCAGCACATTGTTCTTTATTTCTTTGCTCCTCATGATTTTCTAAAAATCCACCAACAGTGAGGTCATTAGTTCCTAAATGGTCATGACCAAGTGCTTCTGTATGATTGGTTGGTCGTTCCAGTAGACTGGCTGGAGAAGATGGTGAAAATTCAGTATCCATAGCATTTGGTATAATGTCTGAAGAAAGCTGGTCTACAACATGATTTTCAACCACATCGTCTATTGTTGAATCATTAGTGGTTTCTGAAATTAAAACCAAAGTTAGAGGGAAAATTAGGATTCAATGTCAAAGTACGCAAAAGCTACAAAGAAACTAGAGCAAACCACAATTGATTTCCTTGAGTAATACATATTAAGGAATAATATGATATAGTTCTCAAGCTTTACCAAAGATAATAATAGAAAAAAATTGAAAAACCAATTTGGGCCAACTTTTAGTTTGCTGCTTTATTCTCTAATAGAATAAAAGAACTTTAATAATATTGTGAAATATATATGATCAAAATCATCAATGAAGAATGCCATAGTTCATTCCAACTTATCTCTAACCTTATACATCTATCATTTAGAGGCAAAAGTAAACAATGAGTAGTTAATTATGTTCCAAGTCCTATAGGAAACATTACCAAACAGGTAGTATTTCACAGTATGTTCTGTCTATAACCATCCATCTAGTCTTCATGAATTGAACAGTCCAAGACAATCTGGTCCCCACTTTAACTCAGTTAAGACCACTAGACCCAGAGGCTTGACACTAAAGGAGATTGTAAGAATTGTTCTCTATATAAAGTAGCTAAATTCTAGTTACTCACCACTTCCAGAACAGCAGCTGAACCTATCTCCTCGGCTTCATATGTAAATGCCTCATTTTCCCATGCTTCCTTCTACACTCTTCCCCTGATCTTCTGACTCTTGTTGAAATTCTATTCCACAATTTGTATAAGCCTCAATGGAAATTCAGTTCTCCTACCTACAATGTAACACTGTTCTCTTCAGACCTGGATTAGGGATGGCTTCTCTCACATATTTTCCATGGACTGAAAAATCAGGACATGCAGTCACTGATTCTTCCCCGAGCAGTGTAATTTCTCCTATGTAACTCTTGTAAAACTCTTACTCTTTTGAGGCTCAGTGTCACTAACTTTTGTTCTCTCTGATTACTACCTTAATATTGAAGGGCACATGCCTGAAGTCTCTCACGTCTGATACCTTTTTCAAAGCCTATCTTCAAATCCCTCCCATTATCAATCTAAGTCCTTACTACTCAAAGTGTAGTCTGTGGTTAAGCTTCTCAGAAATGCTCATCTTGAGCTTTACCCTAGACTGATAGTGTAGAGCTCTCTCTAATGTACCTATCTCTCATGTACATTAAAATTCAAGAAATGCTGTGATAACCAATGTTAAGCAGATTACCAACCTATCAAGAACCTGGCCTTGCCAGTTACTAAATTTTTTTTATATTTTTGGTCAGTCATGGGGCTTGAACTCAGGACCTGGGCACTATCTCTGAGTTCTTCTGCTCAAGGCTAATGCTCTACCACTTTGAACCAAAGCTCCACTTCTGGTTTTAGTTGAAGATAAAAGAGTTTCATGGACTTTCCTGGCCTGGCTGGTTTCAATCTTCAATCCTTAGATCTCAGCCTCCTGAATAGCTAGGATTATAGACGTGAGCAACCAGTGCCCTGCAGTTCCTAAATTCTACTGGTAACATCATACCAGTATTTAAACACTGTTAAGTCTCTTTGATTTTAAAAACAAAGTAAAGTCACTACTTTTAATCTCATGAACTCTTCTAGCTACCATTTGCTTTTCCCTCCTGTGTTTTCCAGCTAAACTTAAACTGGCTGGCTGTTCATACTCAACATCTCTCTTTATTATGGTTTCCCTCCCCTTTATTCCAGAGAATTGTTCTTGCTAAGACAAAGGCAAAAGGAACTTCCAAATACTCTTGAATGGTCTGTTTTCCTACATATTTGAGATCATTTATCATTCAGTTCTCTCTTCCTTTACCTTCTATCACATTAGATTCTTCCCTACTTTCTCCTACCTCAGATACTGCCTCCCACACCTATCTCTACACCAATTCCCTTCTCCTGTACCCCAAAATGTCAAAATGTTAATCTCTACTTGACTAACTAGTATGCAATTCTAAATAAAGCCACATTTCATATTTACTTCAAGCCCATCTAGTGTCTCTCAAGACAGCTTAGTGACAGTCTTATTAGGACAGTCACTTTAGTCCTTACAAAATGCACATTTAGATCAGGTCACCACTTCTTGTAAACTACTCAATGGATTCTCATCACCCCAAGTAAAGTGGAATTCTTTTGTTGTTGTTGTTGCTGACATTTTTGGGTATGTTTTTTATTGTGAAAATGCTGTACAGAGGGGTTACAGTTACATGAGCAAGGTAATGAGTACATTTCCTATTGAGCATTGTTGTCTCCTCCTTGGTTTCTCACTACCATCCCTTCCCTCCCACCTCCATAACTACCCTGCCCCTGCCAAACTTGTAAAATTCGTTTTCAACATAGTATTTTGTACATTTCATTGTTACTTACAATGGATCAACCTGTATCCTTATTTAAGCATTTTGTTTTTTCCCTTCCCCTTCCCGAATAAGAGAAGTATATATACAAGATGCAGGGCACTGACATCAAATACAGTGAAAACAAAGGTTATACCCAGGGGGAGGAACATACAAAGAAACAAACAAACAAAAAAATCACATGGTACAATATAAATATGTTAGAAACAATAGCAAGAAAGAAAAAAAAGGTATTTGTGTCCCTATCTTGGGGTTCATTTCCCTTAACATCATCTTAATATGGTCATATAAACATAGCTTTTGACCTTTTCTGCTTGTCCTACACAAGTATTAGTTATTACAAATAAGGGAAGCCATGGGACCTAAGTTTCTTTGGGCCTGGCTTACTTCACTTAATATAATTTTTTCTAAGTCTTTCCATTTCCTAACAAATGGGGCAATCCCACTCTTTCTTATGTAGGCATAGAATTCCATTGTATGTTTGTATGTACACACACACACACACACACATAGAATTCCATTATATGTTTGTATGTACACACACACACACACACACACACACACACACACACACACACACACACTTTCTTGATCCATTCATCTACTTAGGAGCATCTGGGTTGGTTTTATATCTTAAGTGGAGATTCTTTGCAATAGTTTACAAAGCATTCCAGAACTTGGCTTCCAATTAGTTTCCAGTTCTCACCTTACCTTATGCCCAACATTCTTATTATATCGGAGTCTTTCCCTTAATGCCCTTCTTTATACATACTTTTCTTCAGAAAGTGCTCTACCATAGGGGCAAATTCAACAGTTTACTTATCTAGCTTCCATTTATCCTTCGACATAATTTCCTAAGGAAAAGTGCCTTAACCTCATAAACTAATTTAAATCCTCAAACCTAATGCTTGAACATACTCAGCTTTCTTTTATAACATTCATTATACTTCTAATTATCTATTAAGTGATCCTTTTTTTTGCTCATTTTAATTGAGGGCTAACATCACTTATTGTCTTATTTACTGCTATTCCTTCATGTCCCCAAAAAATACATGCTATTGATAATTACCTTCAAAATTTCACTGAAATTGAAACCCATCTTTCTGCTGGGCGTGATAATACCCCTTTCAAAATCTGTGTGTATGTGTTGGGGGCAGGGATTCATGGGGCTTGAACTCTGGGCCTGAGCGTTGTCCCTCAGCTCTTCAGCTCAAGGCAAGTGCACTCCACTGGACAGCACCACTTCTGGTTTCCTGGTGGTTAACTGTAGATTAAGAATCTCACGGATGGGGATGGGAAGGTGGCTCAGTGGTAGAGCGCTTGCCTTGCATGCCTGAGGCCCTGGGTTCGATTCCTCAGCACCACATAAGCAAAAAGAAAAAAGCCGGAGTGGCGCTGTGGCTCAAGTGGTAGAGCACTAGCCTTGAGCTGAAGGGCTGAGGGACAGCGCCCAGGCCCAGAGTTTAGGCCCCATGTCCGGAACCCCCCCCCCCGAAAAAAAAAAAAGTCTCACAGAGTTTTCTGCCTAGGCTGGCTTTGAACTGTGATTCTCAGATCTCAGGCTCCTGAGTAGCTAGGATTATAGGTGTGAGCCACCGGTGCCTGGCTCAAAATCATTTTTTAAAAAAATTCCTTGAGATCCGCTAATACCATTTTAGAATATAACAGCTAAGAAAATATTGAGCTATAAGAAATGTTCAACCAAAAAACCTTCAATGGCTGGGAAAGTGGCTCGGTGGTAGAGTGCTTGCCTTGCATGCATGAGGCCCTGAGTTCAATTCCCCAGCACCACATACACAGAAAAAGCTGGAAGAGGGCACTGTAGCTCAAGTGGCAGACCACTAGACTTGAGCTGAAGAGCTCAGAGACAGTGCCCTGGCCCAAAGTTCAAGCTCCACAACCAATAAAAAGACATTAAAAATTATTATATACAAATTTATACTGAGAAAGTATTTTCTCTATATATTAGAGTCTACTGGACCGTATTTTTCTATAACCTATTATAAAAATCTTTTCCCTCAGGAGAACTAAAAAACAACAAATAACATTAAAAAAATTATAATTTCTACCTTTATGAAGAGGAAGTGGTTTAATAAGATCTGGCTGTGCTTGAGTCATCGGTGTGGGTGGTCCTTTTCCTCCAATGTGATTGTTCACCACAGGGTTCTGCTGTCTGCCTCTTAGTAGTGGAGACATACAGCGACGTCTTTTAGGGATCCCTTGCATATTTGGTTCTCCAGGTCGCTTATGTTTATTTTGGGGTCCAGCCACAAACTCATCTGCTTCATCTATCATCATACCCTATAATAAAAGCATATAATTTTATTGGATTTACATACATTAAAAATGTTTAATGTCATTTATTTTAACTGATAAAAACAATAATTGTATATACTTAAAGAGTACAATATGACACCTGGATCTACACATACAGTTTTGGTCCAGTTAATTAACATATTCGTCACTTCACCAACTTATAATTTTTTGTGGAGATATTATAAACTTGCTCTTTTTGCAATTTTGAAATAGATACTACATTAACTATGATCACAAGGTAGTGATCAATGCAATAGCTCACTATAAATTACTCCTCCAGGCTAAGACTTGGCACGCTTTGCTCAATATCCAACCTTCCTCATTCTTCTCTTCCATAGGTTCTGGTAACTACCTGTTTACTCTGTACCAAAAAAAAAAAACGAATACTTTTCTTGATTTATATATAATTTGAAGCAACTACATTCTAGCCATGTTGGCACTTTACAGTCTTACCAGGAAAATAGTTTCAGCTTACTTTATCCAAATTATAAGCCCTTAAAAATTGACAGTGCTCACTAAAAAGACAAACAAATTAAATAAGACACTCCAAAATTACCTTTTTATCCAGCTTAAAAGGGTTGCCAAATGTATGCAACCTTCGAGGCTGATCAGGATCAAGTTCTCTTAGTGGAGAAGGTACTTGCTTGAGGTATTCCTGGTAATTCCCCATTTGTGCTATAGGAACACTGTGTACTTGATCTTTTCAAAGAGAATATACCAATGGCGAAAGTTAGCCTCTTTAAAATTACCTCCATCTAGTTATCAAATGGATCAATACTACTTAGTATTATTCTAATCTAGACAGTCTTCCCTTCCTACATATTCTAAATTAGTTTAGTGCCAATTATAAATAGTATGGCAAAGCCTTTGAGATTTTAAAATAAAATTGAAAATACTGATTTTATCTTTGAAACAAAACAAAAATATTATAGTTAATCTTGGTGCATACAGTAGACAATTATGTGTAACTTTATCTTTCTATCCTATTCTAAGTAAAAAAGCAATTTAATTATGATATAATTTGTAGCATTATAGTATACTAGAAAAAGCACACAGATATAAACCTATAGTTAGAATGGTTACATCAGAAAGCAAGGTTAAATTCTCATCTGACTTCATTTGCATTAGATGCTATAAATATTCCAAGGAATTACTCAGGAACATACTGTGCAATAACCACTCAATTAAACTATCAGATACTAATACATCATTAAAAATTAATAAGTATGTAAGTATCCTGAAGATATGAGGAAAGCTAAAATGGAAACAAAAGTGTAATAACAGCTGTTAACTTTGGGGAATAAAATCTGGGCAACAGTAACAGTAGGAAGGAAGGTAGAAAATCAGATGACTCATCCCTGATCTCATTTGTTTAAATATATGATCAGAAGGTAATACTTTAAAATTTGTATTACCATATTATGCTTTTTTCAATTAATAGTTATTTAAAAATTACCAAATATTAAAATAATAATCTAACCTTCATCCTGTCCTTTAAGAAATTTGCGGGTACTCTTCAAAAGATTAGATCTCATTCTTGTTAAGTGATCCAGAAGATTTCGCCTTGGTATGTCATAAGCATTTCTAAATGTTTGAGGCTTCAAATCCTATTGACAAACATTAAGGGACAAAATTTATTTTTTTAAACAAAGTTAAAGAGATTGAAATCTCTGAAACCCAGTAGCACAGTTCTGTTTTAATACCAAAAGATAGAAATTTGGTAGTCAGCACAACAAAATTACCTCAAATTCACTGATGATTTTTATTAAAATAAATTCATTTAAGTAAAATAGTTCACTACTTTTAAAAACACATGTTTTCTTTAAAGCTGCTTTATAATTTATATACCATAAAATCACCTTTGCAATTTTATGAGTCAGTAAATAAAATTTACAGTTTTGAAATCATTACTAAGTGTCTAAGAACATTCTTACTATCTCAGAAAATTCCTTGTACTCATTTATAATCAATCCTTATTTTTATCCTCAGGCAGCCAATGTTTTACCTTTTCTTCTATAATTCAGTTCATAAACAGAAATTTGAAATAACTAATTTTTGTACATGGTTTCCTGTAATTAGTATGACGCTCTTGGATGTTTCACTAATCTATTTCCTTTTAGTCTACCAGCAGTGTATCATTTGATAGATATTCCACATAATTTTTCTTTACTTACTATTTGAATGTTAGATCATATCACTTTTCTTACTTGTTGATTTGGGGCTATTATAGAGCTATTGATTATATATGAAACATGATTTTAATTCTAAAATTCTGTGATTCAATGCCAGTAGTATGATCACTTTTCTACAGATATAGACAAGTTTGGATAAACTAAATGATAGTTAACAGTAAACCTAATTGATTATTACCTTATTTAGTAGAGCAACCTGGAACCCAGTGTATTCCTTCATATTAAGATCTAGCAATCTGTGAGGGATATCATCTGAAATTCCCTGAAGCAGTTGTTGAAAATCTTTCCTATATGCCATTGATAAACCATGTGATCGGCTTCGCACTTTAATTCCAGTTTCCTGTACTACCTTTTTGCCTACAGATCCAATGACGCGATCAGATTCTATTTTGGCCTAAAGTAAAAACAAATAAAAGTTGTCTTGATACAATCTAAATTTTCAAGTCAGATACTAATAGTTATAGTCTTCTATGAATTAAACATATATTGATTTATTAAAGTCAGAATTAAAATCTCAATCAAGAAACTTTTCCGTCAAGTACTGGACACTAAGTTCAAATAATACAGTCTAACATTTTAAACTACTGTAAGTCTAAACAAACACACATTAGGTTTATTTTTACTCATCAATAACCATTATACTCAAATCATGAAGGGTAAATGGTACATAAATGAAAGTATAGTCCCAATTCAGGTGAAAATTAGTTAAAAACAAAAAAAAATTCATCAATATTTACTTGAAGACATTATGTAGCTATTATACATTGGCAAGTATGAAAAAAGTGATGCAGCTTTTTACTAGAAAAATAATCAGCCAGATGTATTAGAGAAGAATAGAGAGACTAAAGGGAGAGAGAAAGAACCATCAAGAACTAGCTTAGTCTATTAACTACTTTAACTAAAACCATTCATATATACTTAATTACTCATTCCTGATTTTGCCATTACCTGCTGACTCAATTTTTTGAGGTATGAAATGACACTGTAACTGAGACCATACTCCATACTGTCTGCTATTAAGTTAGGAGCACCCATCATTCTAACAGCTTTCTTCAAGGGCTATGAGGAAGGAAAAAAGAAGAAAGAAAATCATGTTCAAATATAAGCTTGCTAAAAAATTATGGTTCTATTTATACACTGTTTAAACCCTTCCCTCAAATTCTCTCCTTTTCCTCAAAGGATATAATATAATCACAGTTCACTTCAGTAAAATGTTTGGTATATAATAAATTTAAGTAGCTAAAAAGGAGTAGAGGCAATAATAATAATAATAATAATCCCCAAAGTAAGAAGGGTAGTTTTGAACTGCTAAGTATAATGGAAGATACTCATTTGGAAGAAATAAACAGCAGCAAGCTGGGAATGTGGCTTACTGGTAGAGTGCTTGCCTAGCATGCATAAAGCCCCAGGTTCGATTCCTAAGTACCACATATACAGAAAAAGCCAGAAGTAGCACTGTGGCTCAAATGGTAGAGTACTAACCTTAAGTACAGAGAGGCTCAGAAAAGAGCCCCAGGCCCTGAGTTCAAGCCCCAGGACTGAACCCCCCCCCCCAGAAAAAGAGAGAGAGAGCAGCCACATTTTAGAAGATGATCTGATAAAACCTAGAAGTACAAAGGAAACTTAAGAAAAATAGATTTCTCTCTTGGGTTAACTGGCTTAATCAGTCACTAGTTTTATATAGGTTATATATTTTCTTCGAGCCTCTGTTTCTCACTTGTAAAAACAGTACTAACAGTATCTAACCTTTATAAAGTACTGCCATGGGATTGTAGGAACTAATATATAAAAGCACTTGCACACAGTAAGCAACTGAAGGGTAATCATTACTACATGATCATTAGGTGAACTGAAAAACCAAATAAGCTCTGAATCAAAAATAAGCAGGAGGGAGAAAGTCCAGTATTTATAGTGGATTTAGTATAATGAAAAAAACTAAAAGTTTTTGGTACAATAAAAAGTATCAACAGGAGAAGTGTCTAACATATGAGAATTATAATCACTAACAAAAACTGTGTTAAGCACAGGCGCTACTGTGGAATCAAATCCCAGCTGTCATATTTAACATCTAGGCTGCTCTGGATCAGTTCTAGAGGATGCTATAAAATGTAAATAAACCAATACATGTACTGATTCTTACTCAAAATGTTTTTTTTTTTGGGTTTTCCACTTCACATTTTTAAACAGAGCTTGACATTCAACACTAATTATATATTTTAACCATAAGATGCTATAATTTCTAAAACATAAGCAATAAATATTCTAATGGCATTAGGAATCACTTAGAAAAATCCGTTACAAATTCTGAAATAGGGGCTGAATACGTAGCTCAGTTGCAAAGAACTTGTCTAGTATGTTCATGGTCCTAGGTTCAATCTCCAGAACCCTAATTTTTTTAAAAAAGTGATTCTACTGTAGGAATTTTCTTTTCTTTTTTACTTTTTCTTTTTTTTTTTTGGGGGGGGGTCCGGTAGTGGGGCCTGAACTGTGGGCCTGAGCATTGTCCCTCAGCTCTTCAGCTCAAGGCTAGCGCTCTACCACTTAAGCCACAACGCCACTTCTGGCTTTTTTCTTTTTGCTTATGTGGTGCTGCAGAATCGAAGCCAGGGCCTCAGGCATGCAAGGCAAGCACTCTACCACTGAGCCACCTTCCCAGTCCTGTAGGAATTTTCATTAAGTTTCTCCTAACAAAATCAATTTAGTAAAATATATATTATTAATACACCTAGCATTTGTTTATGTTTTCTAAATGTATAAGGTTCTGTGAAAAGTACACGCTTATTCACCTAAACAGGTTTTTTGAAATTAAGAAAATGCTTAAAAATTATTTCCTACCCTTAAAGAGAAATAATCATAAAAGTAAATTTTTTAAAGTTAGCATTAACAATCAAAGTTAAAAGCTTTTTTTGTTTTGTTTTGTTTGTTGTCAGTCATGGGGCTTGAATTCTGGGCCTGGACGCTGTCCCTCAGCATTTCAGCTCAAGGGGAGCGCTCTACCACTTGAGCTACAATGCCACTTCCAGTTTTTTTTAGTGGTTTTTTTATTGGAGATAAGAGTCACAGACTTTCCTGTCTGGGCTGGCTTTGAACTGTGATCCTCAGATCTCAGCCTCCTGAGTAGCTAGGATTATAGGCGTGAGCCACCAGCACCCAGCTAAATTAAAAGCTTAATTCTAAAGCCAGGCTGCTTCTAGAACCAGACTGAATTCCAGTAACTACTGTGCCCTTCAAACATGAGCTATGTATTCTTGGATAAATAATTACTTTTAGGAACTTAGTTTCCTCATCTGTGAAAGCAGAACAAAATGTGTTTCTACATCACAGGGTGACTCTATGGATTAAATAATATTAACACACTTTACATATTAAGTAGTATGTAAATGTTTTTATGATTATCATCATTCTCTAAGTTTCTGAAACCTATCTTATTACTATACCATATATTATTTGAATACTCAATTCTCATATAAGAGTTTATATAAAAAACAAAAATTTATAACTATCTGAAGTTACAAGCATAAAATTTCTTATGAAATGAGTACATAGCTAAGTGGTAGAATTCTTGCCGAGCTCTGTGTTAAGTCTCCTGGGGGGGGGGGTGGAGAGAGGGAGGGAAGAAGGATAATTCTGATTTAACAATAATATTCTTACCCCGAGATAGTAAGGAGGCATGGTCTTCAAATAACTTTCAAACGACTGTCTCCATTTCAATGTTGGTTTTGCTTTATGCACTTTAAACAAGTCATCTAAAAATATATGTTTTGAAGAAGTATCATCATACATGTTTTCACACACAAAAATCATAAAGAACTTCATCTTAGAAGCCTGCTTGTTTGTTTGTGAAACAGTACCATCAGACATTACTTGTTTTTTTTTTAGTCATAGGGCTTGAACTCAGGGTCTGGGCACTGTCCCTGGTTTTGCTCACTTAAGGCTACACTCTACCACTTTGAGCCACAGTGCCACTTCTTGTTTTCTAGTGGTTAATTGGAGCTAAGAGTCTCACAGACTTCCTACCCAGTCTTGCTTCCAATGACAATTCTCAGATCTTAGCCTACTAAGTATTTAGAATTATAGGTGTGAGCCACCAATGCCTGGCTCAGACATTAATTTTTAACAAAATTAAAAGGAGTAAGAGGTTTAGTTTTGGTGTTTCCTATTGTGACACTATTTTGAAAGTGAAAAGATACCAAGATCATAGTATAATGTACTGCTAAACACTAATAAACACGTGACAAAATGCTACCTTGAGTAAAAAAAGCTTAGGGCCAGCGACTAGGCCCTGAGTCAGGCCCTAGCACCTCCACAAAAGAAAAAAAGTTAATTATACAAAAACAAAACAAGGGGCTGGGAAGGTGGCTCAGTGGTAGAGTTTTCGCTTTGCATGCTTGAGGCACTGGGTTTGATTCCTCAGTACCACATAAACAGAAAAAAAGCCAGAAGTGGCGCTGTGGCTCAAGTGGTAGAGCGCTAGCCTTGAGATGAAGGGCTGAGTGCCCAGACCCACAGTTCAGGCCCCATGACTGACAAAAAAAAAAAACAAACAAAAACCCAACTACAAAAACAAAACAAAAACAACACTAATATACTAATGTAGAATCAGAAAATATGCAAGAAAAATCTATTTTCTCTCTAACATACTCAAGACACAAAATATATGAAGTGACAGAAACCAAGTACATACAACATTTTCTATTTAAATAGTTGGGCTGAAACATATTTAAATCTGATGAATTTTTTACCTCAGTACAAATCAAAAAATGACAACTAGATAGTAACAGAAGCTAACTTTAGGATTTCTTGTAATACTTTGGAACAAAATTCCTTTGTTTAAAAAAATACCTGGATGAGCCAGACACTCATGCACTGCCTATAATCTCACCTACCCAGGAGGCTAAGATCTGAGCACCACGGTTCAAAAGATAGCCCCAGCAGGAAGCTATGAGACTCTTTTATCTCCAATGAACCACCAAAAAAAAAAATGCCAGAAGTGGAGCTGTAGTGTAAGTGGTAGTGTACCATCACCTTTGAGTAAAAAACACTAAGGGATGCCAGGTGTTGGGGGCTCATGCCTATAATCCTAGCTACTCAGGAGGCTGAGATCTGAGGATCATGGTTCAAAGCCAGCCCAGGCAGGAAATGTCCCTGAAACTCTTAGCTCCAATTAACCCCCAGAAAACTGGAAGTGGCATTGTGGCTCATGTGGAAGAGCCCTAGTCTTGTGCAACAGTGCTCAGGCCTAGAGTTCAAGCTCCATGACCAAAAAAAAAAAAAAAAAAAGCTAAGGGACAGTGCCCAGGTGCCCAAGTCCTGAATTCAAGCCACAGGACCAGGACTACCACCAAAAAGAAAAAAATTAAAGGTAGGCAATTGTTTTTTTTAATATACTCAGATTCTGTGAATATGTTTCTACAAATGTCTTCTGTACCAAACAGAAAGCATACATTATGAATTCTATGTAAAAAAATCTTACAGAAAAATTAAATTTGAATTTCTTAATTATTAAACTATAATAGTTTATAGAAAAAAATGATGTTTCAACACTGACTCAATTTATTACAAACAGGTTGCTGTAAAATTTCTTTTATTGGGGGGGAGGGGGCGCGGTTGTGGGGGCCTTAACTCTGGGCCTGGGCACTGTCCCTCAGCTCTTCAGCTCAAGGCTAGCATTCTACCACTTGAGCCACAGCACTACTTCTGGCTTTTTCTGTGTATGTGGTGCTGAGGAATCGAACCCAGGGCCTCATGCATACAAGGCAAGCACTCTACCACTCAGCCACCTTCCCAGCCCTAACATTTCTTTTTTTTTTGGAGGGGGAGGAGGGGGGTCCAGTTGTGGGGCCTGAACTCTGGGCCTGGGCGCTGTCCCTCAGCTTTCAGCTCAAGGCTAGCGCTCTACCACTTGAGCCACAGCGCCACTTCCAGCTTTTTTCTTTTTGCTTATGTGGTGCTGAGGAATCGAACCCAGGGCCTCAGGCATGCAAGGCAAGCGCTCTACCACTGAGCCACCTTCCCAGCCCCTATTTCTTTAAATAGGTTTAATGTTTTAAATATTAAAAGCATTTTCATAAATTTTAGAAGAAAAATATTAAACAGATGTTCTCAAAGTTCATCTTAGGAGAATTTATATATGCAAGCAAAAGAACAAAAACTACTTACCTAAGAGGGGAAGGAGGACTGGATAATTGTAAGGCATCACAAATAAGTTGACACAGTTCAGTGCTGTACTGGCTTTCAAGTAACCAAAAGGATAACCAAGTTCACTATATTTAGCACTATTGCTTACATATACCTGTTAAAAAGGAGGTTTAAATTTTCATACTTAATAACCTTCAAAGAATATTATGCAAACCACCAATTCAACTTTTGCTTTTCATTTAAATTTTTTTACTTGTTATAGTTTTTCAGCTCACCTGCCAACATGTTTGAGGAGACTTCCTTTCTAAGATAAACTGAGTAAGTGGTGAAGGTTCCAACTCATATTTATCAAAAGGCAGTTTGTCAATAACCATAGGTTCACAGTCTGTACAGGAAAACTTCACTACAGGATGAGATGTACGAGGTGGCTAGAGGAAAAAGTCATTATGTACATAAAACACCAAAACAAAATTACTTTAAAATGTTTCTATTAATATTTAGCTGCTCAGATTTGTTTATGAATTTCACTTACTACTAAAAGCAGCATGAAGGTAAAGAAAATCTTGAAGTTGAACACTTCAAGAATCCATATGAAAATCTTTTTAAAAATCCATATGAAAACCTTTACTAGAATTATATGCAACATTTTAGACCTAAATATTTTTACATACAGAAGTGAGAAGTATGTAAAGACCTCCAAAGTCCTTATCTATAGCCATTTAATTTACTTGTAGAGTAATGACTTTTGAAACTAAGTGTACACCTTCATCAGTTTTTGAATATATAAGATTCAGACACATACTCTGTTAATAAAGATGTACACAAAAATGTGTGCATATGGGGCTGGGAAGGTGGCTCAATGGTAGAGTGCTTGCCTCGCAGGCATGAGGCCCTAGGTTCGATTCCTCAGCACTATCAGAAAAGACCAAGTTGTAGAGCACTAGCCTTAAGCTGAACAGATCAGGGACAGTGCCCAGGCCTAGAGTTCAAGCTCCACAACCAACCAAAGAAAAAAAAAAAAGAAAGAGAAAACCAAAAACCAAAAACCGTGTGCATATACATATGCATTTATAGTATTTATTATACATACAAACATATATAATAGGAAGAAACTAAACATAAACCTAAATTCACTCTAAATATATCTTAAAACCAAATTAAAACTAGAAATAAAACTAAATATATATCTAACTAAATCACAGTGGCTCTCAAATGTATTATATGAGACTACATCTATCTTTCTCCTCAGTCATACGACAACCTGTAGATTCCCCAGTAGATTATCATTCTTCATGTACCTGCGTCTTTTATGTCAACTGTTTGCATATTGCTTTTTCTTGTGTATATTACCAACAAACTAAGTTTTAGAGAATAACTTGATAAGAACCACCCTCTATTAAGGGACTGTCCAAATACCTCTATCCAGCAGTTAGGAGCCTCTGGCTCTGTCCCACACTCTGTATCACAGTTAACACCTTATACTGTTACCATGTAAACAAATTTGACTCTCCTCTAGAAAATTAACATTCAAAAAGGTAAACACTGTCATATATTCCTGTGCCTAGCTATATCTGATTTCTAAAGGTTGGCAAAAATGTATTTTTTGGATTATAAAGTATTTCAACTAATCTGAAATTTAAATGAACGTTTAACAAATAATTTTGCTAGTTTGTCTGCCATCTTTCAGATTACAGTCTTAGGAATTACTTTTATCAGCAGAGTGCTGGTGGCTACTCAAAGAGGCTGAGATCTGAGGATCTTAGTTCCAAGCCAGTCTAGGCAGTGAAATCTTTCATGAAAGTCTTATCTATAACCACCCAAAGCCAGAAATGGAGCTGTGGTTCAAGTGGTAGCAATGCCAACTTTGAGCAATAAAACTAAAGGACAGTGCCCAGGTATCAGCTTAAAAAAAACAAAAAACAAAATTCCTTTCGTCTTTTCTAAGAGAGACAAAAAAAAAATCACCAAGCATCCAGATCACAATACTGAATATAACTGAAATGTCTATGTGAATTTCTATGACTATAACCTGGTAATTTGTAGGTAAACTATCAAGAGTTTTTCCTAAGCTTTCTTTTAAATTTCAAATCGTATTCTAGGGCTGGGAAGGTGGCTCAGTGGTAGAGCGCTTGCCTTGCATGCCTGAGGCCCTGGGTTCGATTCCTCAGCACCACATAAGCAATAAGAAAAAAGCCAGAAGTGGGACTGTGGCTCAAGTGGTAGAGCGCTAGCCTTGAGCTGAAGAGCTGAGGGACAGCGCCCAGGCCCAGAGTTCAGGCCCCACAACCAGCCCCCCCCCCAAAAAAAAAAGAAATCCTCATGTTACATTAAGTTTAGGGTTTAAGAAAAAAGAGATTTTATATTCGTGATTAAATATCCAGATAATAATGAAAATGTAAAATAGTACTGGATTCTAAAGACAACAAATTGTTTTTCTATTGCTTCATAATGAACAACGCAGTCTAAAGCAAATAATAGCTTATCATAGCTTCTAATTCCTGAAAATAAGCCATACCTTTACTCACAGTAGTTCTTAAAAATCTAGTATGAAAGACAGATAAGATTGCTATTACATAAGCTTGTCCCTCTGGTACTTACTAGTGTTGGAGAATTCTGATCTGGCCAAAAAGATTCTGGAACAGGCCAATGGCCTATAGGAACCCCTGTTTTAGGATTTGGTCTGACATATATGAGTTTGTGACAGCTATGCCAAGGCTGAGACCCAAAAGGCCTTGATATATCTGGTTGCCCATCTATAGCAAAGAAATTAAGACAAAGTATATATCATTAAAAGGAAAAACATACAAAGTATATCCACTATTTTTCTAATTAGAAATATCCTAATAAACATATTTTGAAATTTGTTCAATTTTGGATATCCTTTTTCTTAAACAAAATACTATGACTGTTGAATAGTTAAAATTGTAGTTCACACTATATTGTAATAGCTAAACTGTAATTCACTAAACAGTAAAATTTATTTAAAAAACTATTTCAACTACGAGTCCACAGCTGAAAGAAGGTCCCACAGCATGCTTGGCTTGCCCAATCAGAACATAAAAAATATACTGTGCGGTTTAATGAGTGATTATGTCTTCCAAACATCAAATGGTATGGGTAATTTGCTTTCTTAATCACTATATTCCCAGTGTTAAAAAACCATGCCAGTTACATAGCAAGTACTATTTAAACATTACTAAGTAGGTATTTCTGGGACTGTAGCTCGGTGGGATAGCATTTATCTGGCATGTTCAATGCCCTGGTTTTGATCCCTTACACCTGAATTAAAAAAGTATTCCTTAGAAATAATTTTTACTACAGTCTAGTAAAAAACAACAACAAAGCCCTCCACAAATCTAGACACACAAAAAAACTACCTTTAATTCAATTTACCTTTAATTCAATTACCTTTAATTGCAAAAGAATCCTTTTCAAAAATTCAGTAAACATTTAGTCAGTATCTAACACAAGTACTTTATTAAATAATTTTTAAAACAGGTATCTTCTATGTCTAACAAATTTTACACCGATTTAAAAAAAATCAGATACAACTTGTCTTATCATATTATCTACCTGCTCTTTATACTTTCTCAATATACCTATTATTTAAACTCTGTAATCTTTCTTGTCTCCAATTACTTGCTCTAGTAGAACATGTGTGCCAAGTGTCATTAATAAATAACTTTCTAATTCTTGAAATAAGTTATGTACAGTGAAACTAAATCTCTGCTACAAACTGTCCATGGGTTCTAGTATAACTATTTAGACCCACTGGCTCCTGTAAATAGTTCATGATCTAAACAAGAGTATAGCGAAGTGAAGCTCATCAAGAGCTTAAACAACAAGCTGGTTCCTCAATTTTGGACTTCAAAAATGGTTAGTTCTGATTAAGATCCTTGGAACAAAAGCAGTAAGAAATTACTCACTAGGGTAGAACACTGACTTATATTATGGGAGCTTGGAAGAGCAAAAATATTTGGGTTGAGAAGTAATGATATCTACTGAGGACAGTAAGTTTGCTTATCTAGAAATGCTGTAAAAGGTGTTTGGAGGAACCAGGATGAATTTAACTTGACTTTCCTATTCATCTTCCCTTCTTTACAACAGAAGTTTAATCATGTTGATAATCTGACCTTGCTGATAGTAAGGCCAATTTATAGGTTTTCAGTTCTAGTTCAATAATTTAAAACCAAGTTTAGAAAATGTCTGTAAGAAAAATACAATAATACCTTCTACAGGGGAAGGATCTGGTCCTGCTTTTTCAAAGTTTATTACCACCCCACTTTGTACTTTCTGCACCAAGGACTCCAGACACTGATTAAGCATTCTTGGAGAACATACAGAGTATGAACGGCCTAAGATAAAAAATAAAAAATAAAGAATAAAGTGAACTAGTTAGTTGCAAGAACTCCTACCTTTTAGTAAGAATTGTAAGTGTGGTTTCAGACAACACTAATAAAACAGAAATTCAATGGTAAAGGTTAACGTGTCATAATCTTAAAGAGAATGAACAAAAATTATTTCTAATCAACAAGCCCATTTTGTGAGAGCATGAAAATTTTTGTGAGCACATGAAAATTTTTCTTCCAAGTACAGGTGCATGAAACAAAGAAAACTCAGTATGTACAAATGACAATGAAAAAAGTTAGATACAATAGGTATAATATGTATAAAGCACTACTGCAAACTGTTATCCAATACATCTTTAACAGAGTATACACATACAACCTCTTGTACCAATACAATCAATTTTTTTCTCCACTTAACCAAAGTATTATGTCCCTAAGCTACATTAAGCAATAAATAGTAATTACTATTTAACTGGTTTTTGGGCAGTAGATGATTATTTTAAATATCTGTATCATGATATTGATGGTAGTATTTTTTTCTTAATTTCACTTGAGTTAAACAGCTGAAAATTACTATCTTGCCTTTTGAGATGTCAGTCCTGGGGCTTGAACTCAGGACCTGGTCACTGTCCTTGAGCTTTTTTGTTCAAGGCTAGTGTTCTACCTTTTGAGTTACTGCTCCATTTCCCCACTTCTTATTGGTTAATTGCAGATTACTGAGATTATTGGAGATTATTGTTATTTATAATAAGCTCAGGGCCTTTCCTGCCTGGGCTAGCTTTGAACTATGATCCTCAAATTTCAGTCTTCTGAGTAGCTAGGATTATAGGCATGAGCAACGGATCCTGGCTCTTATTTTGCCCTACTGATATTTTAATCTACAGTACTTTAGATAAGCATTAAAATGCCAGGGATTTGAAAAATACAAGTGAAAAGGATTTTTTTAAACAGCTCAGTCTGGCCTTCAACTTCTGATTCTCCAGCCTCAGTCTCCCAATGGTTTGGATTACAGGCATGTACCATCACACCATCTTTAAACAGGAATTTTCAACAAGGATATCTACATGTTTGTTGTCTGATATTACAGATCCTAGGAACATGGTTATTGAGAACTACTGAACTAGAACTAATCTAATTTTAGATCTCTGAAATGTATAAACTGTACACCTGATTGCTACAGATTTAATATGCAAAAGTGTAAAATAATGTTTTTCAATTTCATGCTGAAATAGTATTCTGGATATACTAATTTAAATTTTATTTTTTAAAATATAGCTATTAAACAAATTTTTAACATGGAACCTGAATGGTATTTCTACTATAAAATGCCAATCCAAATGAAACACTAAAAGCCTTGACAGCTAAAAATCAATCTTCAACCAAGCACCCTGCAATGTTATTTATAATAAGCTCAATACGTAGCCCTATTCTTACACAAATTCAGCCAATTATTTCAAAACAAAAGCTATGTTGTATTTGACAAATCAATTTACCCCTATCAATTTATAATCTACTTTGTAAAGGCTATTCAGAAAAAGGGAACATGAGGTAGTAATGATTCAATCCTTACAAAAATATGATAATGATATTGGTAATTATAAAATATCTATACCAATAACCATGTCTATTCTTGTTCTCATCTCTTTTATTTACAGTGGTTTGAATGCACTCAACCACTTATGCCTCACCCCCTAGTCCTTTTTTTTGACTTATTTTTCATAGTTTTGTCTACGGCTGCCTAAGGCCTCCCTTGTAGCGGGCATGGCATGTTTTTCTTCATCATACCTAACATATTGACTGAGATGGGTCTCAAAATCTTTTTGACTGGGATTGCCTTAAAGTGAGATCTTCTCCAACTCAGAATAGCTAGCATTATAGGTAGAAGCCACAACGCTCAGGCTGTTTTAATCATTTTTATAATTTGCTTAATCTTACAAACAATTGTTTGGATTATTTTCTCTAATCCACAAATGAGAAACTCAAGGCACAGAGAGTTTTTTTTGGGTCTGATCGTGGGGCCTGAACTCTGGGCCTGGGCACTGTCCCTCAGCTCTTCAGCTCAAGGCTAGCACTCTACCACTTGAGCCACAGCACCACTTCCAGCTATTTTCTTTTTGCTTATGTGGTGCTGAGGAATAGAACCCAGAGCCTCATGCATGCAAGGCAAGCGCTCTACCACTGAGCCACCTTCCCAGCCCCGGCACAGAGAGTTAATACAGTGGTACAACTAAAATTCAAAAACTAGGTATTAGAGATTTATTCTGGGTCTACTTTGTACTCTAAATTTACATGTTAATTTGAAGTTAAAACAAAGCATCTATACAATAGTCATGCTATTTGAAAGAATTGTTAAATTTACTTCTTTTCCTGTCAATTTAATGATATACATAAAACAGTACAATATAAACTATTATTACACACAAAATATTCATAGAAGAATATAAACTCTGAATATCTTATATCATAAATTGTCTTTCCAAGATATTTTTTAAAAATACAATTTCTTTTCTTCAGAATTAGGATTCAATTCAGGGCCTCATCACTTAAGCCATGCCTAGAGCATTCTGCTTCTTAGTTTGTTTTTCAGGTAAGAATCTAACCCCCATTTCCAGCTTTTTTTTTTGCTTATGTGGTGCTGAGGAATTGAACCCAAGGCCTCATGCATGCAATGCAAGCGTTCTACCACTGAGCCACCTTCCCAGCCCCCAGCTTTTTTTTTTTTTTTTGAGATAGAGTATCACCAACTTTTACTTGGGCTGACCTTAAACCTTGATCTTTCTGATACATCACCATGCCTGACGTATAAAAATTTTTAAGCATATAACTATGGTAATTCTGTCTTCTAAATCATTCCATTAATTAATCAACTAGAAAATAAATAAAATAGCTATGATCATAGTATGATATAAAACTAATAAAGACTTTTGAAATTAGAAAAAAACCTTAAGAGACATAAGACATTTGGTAAATAACTCATGTCCACCAGCATGATGCTCATTCCTGTAATCACAACTACTCAGGACACTGAGACTTGAAGATCCCAGTTCAAACCAAAGTCTGTGAGACTTTATTTCCAATTAACCACCAAAAAGCTGGAAAGGATCAAGAGGTAGAGCATTAACCTTGAGCAAAGCTAAAGGACAGTACCCACGATCTAAGTTTAAGCCCCAATACTAGCACACATACATAACAAAAAAAGCCCATTATAAATCAATAAAAATCCATTCATCATTTTGAAAGTAAAATAGTAAAGTTTACGAAGTTAAAAACCTCACAAAGAAGTTTGTATCCTATGTAATGTTTCTCTCATCCCTTAGAAAATGTATTTCTGGTGAAGCATTAAGTTTCTAGAATCACTGTAACTGTGAACAAAGGGCTGTATTAAGTACACACCTTTAAATCAAGAAGTTGGCTCATTTTTGATCATGTTGACATCACACAAAAAAGCCAAACTGAATATAGTTAAGTTTAAAGTCAGCATTTACATCTTGATAAAATAAGAAGCAAAAGAACAATTCTAATTGAGAAAACTGTTCTCACAGACTAATTAAGTTAAATATATTTATATCAAAAAGCCTATAATTTTAATAAAATTTTCATCTTGACATTTTTATCAACATATCAGATTTTTTCTGCCAGTACCAGGCCTTAAACTCAAGGCCTTGCCCCGGCACCAGTGGCTCACAATCACAATCCTAGCTACTCAGGAGGCTGAGATCTGAAGATTGTGATTCAAAGCCAGCCCAGGCAGGAAAGTCCGTGAGACTCTTATCTACAATAAACCACCAAAAAACCAGAAGTGGTGCTGTGGCTCAAGTGGTAGAGTGCTTGCCTTGAGCTGAAGAGCTCAGGGACAGCGCCTAGGTCCTGAGTTCAAGCCCCACGACTGATGACGACAACAACAACAACAACAAAAAACCGTAAGGCCTTGTACTCTCTTAATATTCTTTACCACTTGAACTATGCTGCCAGTCAGGATTTTTGCTGGTTAACTGGAGATGGAGCCTCTAGTTTTCTGCCAGGACTGGCTTGAAACTACAATCCTCCAGATATTGGCCTCTCAAGTAGCTAGGATTATGGGTGTGAGCCACCAGCACCTGTTCTATCAGACACTTACTGATTTGGTATCATACTTGTACCTTCTTTCCCTGCCACTGTGCCTATGTAAGTTCACAGTGAGTTCACATTCATTGCTAGTGGTTCAGTTGGCTTGAACTTGAACAGTGGTTCAAGCCAACTGAACCATCTGAGAATCCTCAATTCTTTTTACTCTCTTTGCCCTCATCCTGGTTGTGCTTTGTATCAAATCATTTCTTACCACTTTTAAATTTAGCTCTCTAGACCAAAGTACAATCATCTCCTTTTTTTTGGGGGGGGGGTCCGGTCGTGGGGTCTGAACTCTGGGCCTGGGCGCTGTCCCTCAGCTCTTCAGCTCAAGGCTAGCGCTCTACCACTTGAGCCACAGCGCCACTTCCAGCTTTTTTCTTTTTGCTTATGTGGTGCTGAGGAATCGACCCCAGGGCCTCATGCATGCAAGGCAAGCGCTCTACCACTGAGCCACCTTCCCAGTCCCACAATCATCTCTTACCAATCTCCCTGCGTCGATTTTTGCCACTCTGTATTTCATCTAAAAACTGAAGTGATCATTAAGATATATAACTCAGATTTTATTTTATATCAAAAACTATCCAATGGCTTCTATAACATTTGAAAAACAGAAAACTTACTACTATGGACTAAAAAGTTAAGTCAACATTTGGCTCCCACCCACCTCTCTAAACCTAAGTTACTCTCTACTCTTCCAGAAGTAAGCTAGATCATCTCTTCAAAAGCAAACTTACCTACGAATATTCACTCTCAGCTTCAAGTTATTCTCTAATTTCTATCTCTAATTTTCCCCTACAGTATGTAGGGTTCCTAAAATCCTTATTTATGTAATAATTTTGTCACCAAATCAAAAATTACGAACTTTCTATTGTTCCTGAAGTATTCCGAACATTAGGACTGTCATGTGGCATACAGTGGGCACTCATTAATTAGCTACAAAGAAAAACACTTAAAATGACAATTGTATAGCTTTTTTGTTAAAGCATACATAAAGGTATTAACAATGTACTTATTACTTTGACAATACAGACTAACTTCTTTTTACTTGAACATGAATTACATAATTCAGGGAGGGGGGGAAATCAAATTTTTTTTATACTTTTTTTTAATGGTCGTGGGGCCTGAACTCTGGGCCTGGCCGCTGTCCCTCAGCTCTTCAGCTCAAGGCTAGCGCTCTACCACTTGAGCCACAGCGCCACTTCCGGCTTTTTTCTTTTTGCTTATGTAGTGCTGAGGAATCGAACCCAGAGCCTCAAGCATGCAAGGCAAGTGCCCTACCACTGAGCCACCTTCCCAGCCCGGGGGGGGGGGGTGGGTGGGAGGGGGGGGAGGGGAATCAATTTATACATATACACACCTCCTTGTCACTAAGTTAAAAAGATACAAAAGGATGGTTAGTAGTGATTCCATATTTGTCTAGTACAATACTAGAGGACATTAACTTCTATTGTTTGTGTTACTTTTCTGGTACTTTATCTTGAAAACTTCCTTTAATGACTTTTTTAATTAAAAAGAAACATCATTAAGATGTAAGAAAAAGTGAGTGGTATGCATAAGGTTCTCCTTATTGCTGTAAAAGCATGAAAAGGAGAAAATAAAGAACTAAATCAGGAAAGATCCAGGAAGACTATCTAAGAAAAACTTCCTAACTTCTTGACTAATGCTTCTCCTGTTATGGAAATCTACAACATCAATTTTGAACCCTTCAACTTTCGAGATGTTCCTAAAGATTACCAATTACTATACCACATCTCAAAATTCTTTTCAGATACTTTCTGTTATACATTATTCATTTCATTTCATACTCTGAATATTTCTGACTATAAAATGTGTTATATTTTATTTATTTGGGGGGGGTCCGGTTGTGGGGCCTGAACTCTGGGCCTGGGCGTTCTCCCTCAGCTCTTCAGCTCAAGGCTAGCGCTCTACCACTTGAGCCATAGCACTACTTCCGGCTTTTTTCTTTTTGCTTATGTGATGCTGAGGAATTGAACCCAGGGCCTCAGGCATGCAAGGCAAGCCCTCCGCTGAGCCACATTCCCAGCCCCATGCATTATATTTTAGTACATGCATTATATTTTAGTACATGCAGTATCATAATCTTATCATAATTTTAAGCTCAAACTAAGTTGTAAATGACAAGCAAATCCCAATGTGAGAACATCTAAGTTGCAACTACAAAATCTTTTATAATCATTGAAGAAAAAACTCCTAGATTAAAAAAAAAAACAGCTGGGTACCAGTGGCTCACACCTATAATCCTAGCTACTCAGGAGGCTGAGATCTGAGGATCACAGTTCAAAGCCAGCCCGGGCAGGAAAGTTCATGAAACTATTATCTTGAATAAACCACTAGAAAACCAGAAGTGGCGTTTTGGCTCAAGTGGTAGAGTGCTAGCCTTGAGCTTAAGAGCTCAGGGACAGCAGCTAGGCCCAGAGTTAGAGCCCCAAGACTGACAGACAGACAAACAAACAAACAAAATCCAGCACCGAATCTTAAAAGTAGGTCAATTTAAAGCTAAAAACTAAAATTTCATGACTATAAAAGTAATTCTACCATTAAAAAAAATGAGTACCATTTACTAACAATACGATAAATGTACAGGAATCAAATTAGACACATATATACCTTCTTCTGTGAACTAAATTAGGAAGGCTATTACAATTCAACAAATCCTCTAAAATGGAAACATTTAATAATGTAAACATTACTTACCTACTTCAAATAGCTATATATAAAGGCTCATCATTGTTGCCTTTAGAGTTTGTGGATTGCCCAAACCCATATTATAAGAAATTCACATAAAGTACTAATTAGAACTCATACCTTCTTTTTCCTTTGAAGCTAAGCTATAATTGACTGAGTGGAGCCCAACTATATCGAGAGACCATACTGGAGGCCTCTGATGGGTGAAATAATAAGAGTGCCAGACTTAACATTTTAATAATCAAATTCCTTAGGTAACATAGATGCTCTATGAAATGAAATTCCCATGTATATCTTACTCATTACTAAGTAATGAACCCTAAAGCTTGGGGCAACACTTGGTATACAGTAAGCAGTTAATGCATATCTATATGAAATAAAGCCACCTATTAACCGATTCTACATTATAGAGATCTAAACATAGTATGTATTTGAGATTCTCATTAACATAGCACAGTGCTTACCTAGTCTGATTAAATAAGTGATACATAAAGTTGAATAAAACTTCATTACTATTTCCTCTAATCTATTTTCCTACTTCTTTAAGTCTGGAAAAAACTTTAAAATGTACCTGTCTTTCAAATGGATAATGAAATGCTTCTGAAAACACTATTTACAGGAAATAATGTTATATCCTATCTAAATTGTTGGTGATCTTTGTAGATAAGAAAACTTGATTACTAACTTCAAATACTAGCCATTTCTATTTGTGTTAAAAGAAAAAGTACCACTCATTATGAGATCCAACAGCAGTAACCACATTCTCTTCTAATCAAGATTATAGACCATCATCTATAAATAATTTTAAAACTCTATGTCTATTAATTCTTAATGTTATCTTGTTAAACAACAAAAATGAATTTTGGAAATGTACACTTTAACACATTCAGAAAAACTCTGCTTTAAGTCATTGAATTACTGCCAGCAAAACAAAAACAAAAACAACTTACCGCCTGTCACTTCACACATCGGTGTGATGGCAGAGTCATCTAAAGGAACACCTGTCAACTGTTCTGATTCTACTGACATGGTGCCAGGCAACCGCAACACTAATGCAAAGAGTCTCTGATCCCAACGAAAAGGTTCTTTAGTCAATTCACTTCCAGGCAAAGGTGAATTAAGAGGTAAATGGAGCTGAAAGTAATGGGGAAAACAGTAACAACAAAATCAGTAACCTTTCTAGACATTACTTTTCTTCAAATAAGCCACTTCAATAACACATATTAAAACTTCATTGAGTTTCCTATCACACTAAAAACAAGTTCAAAAATAAAAGCGAAACTGGGCACCTGTGGCTCACACCTGTAATCCTAGCTACTTGAGGCGAGATCTGACGATCGTGATTTGAAGGCAGCCTAGGCAAGGAAGTCCATGAGACCATCTCCAACTAGCCACCAGAAAACTGGAAGTGGTCCTATGGCTCAAGTGGTAAAGTGCTAGCCTTGAACACAAAGAGGCTCAGGGACAGCACCCAAGCTTTGAGTTCACAGACCCACAACCAACCAAAAAAATAAAAATAAAATAAAAAAGCTTCACATATACCTAATACAGTGCACACTTGTTTTCTCTTAAATTTTATTGTAAAGAACTTGAAACAGATCTGAAATATTGTATGTAATGTACTTCAAATTTATATTCAGCTAACCATCAGGTGCTAGACTATTGTCTAGCCAGTGGTTCACACCTGCAATCTTAGCTACTCAGGAGGCTGAGATCTGAGGATCGTGGTTCAAAGACAGCCTGGGCAGTAAAGTCCATAAGATTCTTATCTCCAATAAACCACTAGAAAACTGGACATGGTGCTGTGGCTCAAGTGGTAGAGCGCTTGCCTTGAGCTGAAAGCTGAGGGACAGTGCCCAGGCCTTGAGTTCAAGCCCCACAAAGAAAAAGAAAGAATTTTACTATTGCTATTCTGTATGTGTGTATATGTGTAGGTCTCAGGAAAAAAGAAAGTAAATTTTGTCACTATTAAAAAGGGGTTGGTGGCATGGCTCTGTTTGTAGAGCCCTAGCCAATGAGCAAAAGTAGACACAGGTACCAAATTTGAGTCCCAGTCTTGGACCAAAGGGGGGGGGGGAGGAAAAGTATTAAAGATTGTGTACTCTCATTTGTTTTCTTTCTTTCTGGTTTTTTTTTTTTTTTTTTTTTGGGTCCTGTCGTGGGGCCTGAAC